TTGGCTGTTGCTTTGTTATGAATAGCTTTTATTATTTTGAGATACATTCCGTCAATACCTAGTATATTGAGGGTTTTTAGCATAAAGCGCAGTTGAATTTTGTCAGAGGCCTTCTCTGCCTCAATTGAGAGAATCGTGTGGTTTTTGCCTTTGGTTCTGTTTATGTGGTGAATTACGTTTATAGACTTGTGTATGTTGAACCAGCCTTGCATCCCCAGGATGAAGTCTACTTGATCATGGTGGATAAGCTTTTTGCTGTGCTGTTGCAATCGGTTTGCCAGTATTTTATTGAAGATTTTTGCATCTATGTTCATCATGGATATTGGCCTGAAGTTTTCTTTTCTTGCTGAGTCTCTCCCAGGTTTTGGTATCAGGATGAATTGATTTGGGAAGGATTCCCTCTTTTTGGATTATTTGGAATAGTTTCAGAAGGCATGGTATCAGCTCCTCTTTGTATGTCTGGTAGAATTCGGATGTGAACCCATCTGGACCTGGGTTTTTTTTGGGTGGTAGGCTCTTAATTCCTGCCTCATCTTCAGCCCTTGTTATTGGTCTATTCAGGGTTTCGACTTCTTCCTGGTTTAGGCTTAGGTGGAGGCAAATTTCTAGGAATTTATCCATTTCTTCCAGGTTTACTAGTTTATGTGCATAGAGTTGTTTGTAATAATCTTCGATGATGGTTTGTAATTCTGTGAAATCTGTGGTGATAGCCCCTTTATTGTCTTTTATTGCATCTATTTGATTATTCTCTCATTTCTTTTTTATTAATCTGGCTAGTGGTCTATTTTGTTGATCCTTTTGAAAAACCAGGTCCTGGATTTATTGATTTTTTTCAAGGGTTTTTTGTGTCTCTATCTCCTTCAGTTCAGCTCTAATCTTAGTTATTTCTTGTCTTCTGCTAGGGTTTGAATTTTTTTGATCTTGCTCCTCTAGCTCTTTCAATTTTGCTGATAGGGTGTCGATTTTAGATCTCTCCTTGCTTCTCATGTGGGCATTTATTGCTATATATTTTCCTCTAGAGACTGCTTTAAATGTGTCCCAGAGATTCTGGTATGTTATGTCTTTGTTCTCGTTGGCTTCGAAGAACATCTTTATTTCTTCCTTCATTTCATTGTTTATCCAGTCAACATTCAAAAGCCAGTTCAGTTTCCTTGAAGCTGTGCGGTTCTGAGTTAGTTTCTCAATTCTGAGTTCTAACTTGATTGCACTGTGGTCTGAGAGACTGTTAACGATTTCTCTTCTTTTGCATTTGCTGAGGAGTGATTTACTTCCAATTATGTGGTCAATTATAGAGTAGGTGCGATGTGGTGCTGAGAAGAATTTATATTCTGTGGATTTTGGGTGAAGAGTTCCATAAATGTCTATTAGGTTTGCTTGGTCCAGGTCTGAGTTCAAGTCCTGGGTATCCTTGTTAATTTTCTGTCTTGTTGATCTGTCTAATATTGACAATGGGGTGTTAAAGTCTCCCACTATTATTTTGTGGGAGTCTAAGTCTCTTTGTAAGTCGTTAAAAACTTGCCTTATGTATCTGGGTGCTATTGTATTGGGTGCACATATATTTAGGATCGTTAGCTCTTCTTGTTGCATTGATCATTTTACCATTATGTAATGTCCTTCTTTGTCTCTTTTGATCTTTGTTGGTTTAAAGTTTATTTTATCAGAGACGAGACTTGCAACTCCTGCTTTTTTGTGCTCTCCATTTGCTTGGTAAATCTTCCTCCATCCCTTTGAGACTTTGTGTATCCTTGCATGTGAGATGGGTTTCCTGGATACAGCACGGTGATGGGTTTTGGCTTTTTATCCAATTTGTCAGTCTGTGTCTTTTGATTGGGGTGTTTAGCCTATTTACATTTAGGATTAATATTGTTATGTGTGAATTTGATCCTGCCGTTTTGATGCTAGCTGGCTGTTTTGTCCATTAGTTGATGCAGTTTCTTCATTGTGTCAATGCCCTTTACCATTTGGTATGTTTTTGGAGTGGCTGGTACTGGTTGTTCCTTTCTATGTGTACTGCTTCTTTCAGGAGCTCTTGTAAAGCAAGCCTGGTGGTGATGACATCTCTGAGTACTTGCTTGTTCGTAAAGGATTTTATTTTTTCTTCATTTATGAAGCTTAGTTTGGCTGGATATGAAATCCTAGGTTGAAATTTCTTTTCTTTAAGGATGTTGAATATTGACCCCCACTCTCTTCTGGCTTTTAGGGTTTCTGCTGTGAGTCTGATGGGCTTCCCTTTGTGGGTAACCCGACATTTCTCTCTGGGTGCCCTTAGCATTTTCTCCTTCATTTCAGCCCTGGTGAATTTGATGATTATGAGCCTTGGGGTTGCTCTTCTTGAGGAATATCTTTGTGGTGTTCTCTGTATTTCCTGGACTTGAATATTGGCCTGCCTTGCTAGGTTGTAGAAGTTTTCCTGGATAATGTCCTGAAGAGTATTTTCCAGCTTGGATTCATTCTCTCTGTCACATTCAGGTACACCTATCAAATGTAGATTATGTCTTTTCACATAGTCCCATATTTCTCAGAGACTTTCTTCATTCCTTTTTACCCTTTTTTCTCTAATTTTGCCTTCTCGTTTTATTTCAATGAGTTGATCTTCTACCTCTGATATCCTTTCTTCTGCTTGGTCAATTCGGCTGTTGAAACTTGTGTATGCTTCGCAAAGTTCTCGTGCTGTGTTTTTCAGCTCCATCAAGTCACTTATATTCCTCTCTAAGTTGTTTATTCTCATTAGCATTTTGTCAAATCTTTTTTCAAGGTTCTTAGTTTCTTAGCATTGGGTTAGAACATGTTCTTTTAGCGCAAAGAAGTTTCTTATTACCTACCTTCTGAAGCCTGATTCTGTCAATTCATCACACTCATTCTCCATCCAGCCTTGTTCCCTTGCTGGTGAGGAGTTGTGATCCCTTGTAGGAGGAGAGGTGTTCTGGTTTCAGGTGTTTTCATCCTTTTTGCACTGTCTTCTTCCCATCTTTGTTGATTTATCCATCTGTCGTCTTTGTAGTTGCTGACTTTCAGATTGCGTCTCTGAGTGGACGTCCAGTTTGTTGATGACATTATTTCTTTCTGTTTCTTAGTTTTCCTTCTAACAAACAGTCAGGCTCCTCTGCTGTAGGACTGCTGAGGTCCACTCCAGGCCCTGCTTGCCTCAGGATCACCTGCAGTGGCTGCAGAACAGTTAGGGTTGCTGCCAGTTTCTTATTCTGCTATCTTTGTCCCAGAAGGATATCCACCAAATATCAGTCTGTTCTCTCCTTTATGAGGTGACTCTTTGAATATATGGGGGTCAGGGAACAGCTTGAGGAGACAGTCTGTCCTTTATAGGAGCTCAAGTGCTGAGCTGTGAGCTCCATTGTTCATTCAGAACTGCTGGGCAGGTAAGTTTAAGTCTGCTGCAGCAGAACTCATAAACCACACCCCCCAGCTTTTTTTCCCCTGGTGCTCTGTCCCAGGGAGTTAGGGCTTTATTTATTAGTTTCTGTTGTGCTGCCACCTTTTTTCAGGGCTGCCCTGCCCAGCAAGGAGGCAGCCTAGTCACTGTCTGCCTGCAGAGGCTTTTCTGAGCTGCCCAACTTCCCTGCAGTCCTGTTTATATGGGTGTAGTTAGAACTGCCTCAGCAATGGTAGACTCTCTCTGTAATGGCAGGCTGCCTCGGTAATGGCGGATGCCTCTTCCCCACAGAGCTGGACCATCCCGGGTTCAGCTGTGCTTGCTGTGAAACTCTCAATCCAGAGCGTTTCAGATTGCTGTTTTTTCTGTGGAGGTGGGACCAGCTGAGCCTGATCTCCTAGTTCCCTGCCTCCGAGCCCCCCCTTTTTTTTAGTTGAACGGTCAATTCTGTCTCCTAGGTGGTACTATCACCTGTTGAAAAGGCGCCAGGATCTGTGTGATTTCCTGTGCGGTGACCCACTGTGCTGGCTCAAACAGCTGTGCTGAGATTCATGGTGCTTTTTTGCCCAGGAATCTCCTGGCCTGGTTCAGTCCCCTTTTTTATCAGTTGAATGGGCGACTCTGTCTCCCAGGAGTTCTAGTTAATTGCCAGCTAAAATGGCACCCGGACCTGTGTATTTTGTATGGAGAACTGCCTTGCTGGGGTACTGGCAAAACAGCCGCTCCAGACAAACCAGTCGCACTGGTGACCCATGGGGCTTCTCTGCCTGGGAATCTCCTGGTCTGTGGGCAATAAAAATCTGTCTGGATATGCGGCGTCCACTCACACTCCACGCTTTTGCTGGGAGCTGCAATCCTGAGCTGCTCCTAATAGGCCATCTTGGATCCTTCCCGACCTTGTTTTTTAAGGGGAGAGCTCATAAATCTCTTTGAGAATAGTACAGAAGTTAGAGCTTTTCTCTACAGAAAAACATGTTTACAGATGCATTTGCTTCTTTTGCATACTATTTCAAGGGTTCACACATTTTATGAACGAGTACAAGATGGGCGTTCTCAGTACCTCACATCAGACCACTTTTTTTTAGGAGGTCATATTTTTAAAGCATCTCTTTAAATTGAGGTATAACTTCAATACTGTGTACTGCAGAGATGGTTAGGTATATAGTTCAATGAGTTTTGACTAATACATGCAGACATGTAACAACATCCCTGTCTAGATATAAAGCATTTCCATCACTTCAGAGGGTTCTGCCAGGTTCTTTCCTAATCAGTGTCCACACACCCAGAGACAACCACTTTTGAAGGGGATTTTTAGTTCACATTCATAGTGTCTGCATTTCCTGAAGACTGGTGTTACAAAGACAACATTCCTAGAAAGTGGTTACATGATAAGAAATGGTCAGCTGTTTGTATTACATAAAGAATGCAACAGCATCCCAAAAGGGTCCTAGAAACCTGGTTAATGATCTATGCTGTCACAAGCCCTTAAGCCCTTTTTAGATGGCTTGCAGCATCTCAGAAAATAGAAACATCTTTAGAAAGTAATTGTGTCCAACTGACCCTCAGAAAAAAATCAACATAGCCAAAAGCACCTTCCAATCTTATCTTTTACCTGATCAGCTTCTGAATCTGAGGGGACCACCAGCACCACGTCACCCCTTTGTAAGGTAAGTTCATCAGAATTTGCTGCCTCAAAATCATGCAGTGTTTCCACCTGCAAAAGATAAAAATAATACATAAAAATCAGTTTTCCACCAGATTATAAGCAGACACTCTTACAAGCACTCTCCAAGCTGGATGAAAAGTGAAGATATGTACCATATCCCAAGAAAGAAGAAGGCCTCTAAAGCCAGAAAGGAAGTCCTATTCTCTGATATGAGGGCCATTCACATGTATATTTATTAATAGTAATACAAGGCCCTCTACAACAGGGGAAAGTTCTATATAAATCAAATATTAATTAATCTTATTTTTGTTAGAGATTTACATTTTATTATCGCTGATGCTTTATTATTATGTGTTTAACTGGAACCAGAAATGTCTAAAACTCCTCTAACCCCAGAATTTGTCAAATAATAATCAGGAAAACCACCACTTGCAGGTTAGACAGCAATTACTACTTAATAAAACTCTGTGATCAATTTCTGTGTAAATATATTTCCTTCCTTCCCTATCCAACCCTATATACAATGGCAACCAGTTTCTTTTGCTTTCCCATTTTGCAAAAGATTTCCTTAAAATTTTATTATAGAAAATTTTTTTAAAGCAGAAGGAATGATACAATGAACCCCCACGCATCCGTCACCCAGTCTGAATAACTCTACCGTCATGGGCAACTTTATTTTTCATACACCCCTCCCCTCAACTCCACCCTTGAGAGTAAACATCTTTAAAGTGTGTATTTTCCCATTGAGCATATTCATAGAACCGTAAACTGTCAGAGCTGGAAATGGATTACGTTATCCCTAAATTAATTCCTCTGATGGGAAAACTGATACCCAGAGAGAGGGTCTATATGGGGTGCCTTAGGTTATACCACAGTTAGTGCAGAAGCCAGGATGGGTCCAGCAAGCCCTGGCCATGCTTGGCACAAGGGTTCTTGGACTGTTTGTGCTCCAATTAAAACAGAACCTGGCCGGAAACAACCCCCTATCTACAGATTTAATTTTTTCTTCAAATTAATTCATTCATAAATCCATTATAGCCACCCCCGTCCCCATAAAAGGTAGCAAGGTAGTAGTTACTTTCTAATGTAGAGAGAGAGAGAGAGAATCATATCACATTTTACACTCTAGAAGAAAAAGAGCTGAAGTTTGAAATGTAAAATTTAAAATTCTGGCTGGGCATGGTGGCTCATGCCTGTAATCACAGTAATTTGGGAAGCTGAGGTGGGCAGACCACGAGGTCAGGAGTTCAAGTCCAGCCTGGCTAACATAGTGAAACCCTGTCTCTACTAATAATACAAAAAATTAGCCAGGCATGGTGGTGGGTGTCTGTAATCCCAGCTATTCATGAGGCTGAGGCAGGAGAATCACGTGAACCCAGGAGGCAGAGGTTGCGATGAGTGAATACCGTGCCACTGCACTCTGGCCTGGGTGACAGTGTGAGACTCTGTGGCAAAAACAAACCTTAAAATTCCTTATCAGATTCTGTTAGGAAACATCTGAAACAGGAAACACCTGGGTGAAGCCAGTGTTTTTAGGTATTTTTTGGTAAGAATCCTTTGGTTTATGAAGGCTGTAAGTAGCCTGTCTAAGCAAAACCTTCTTCTCATTGACTTAGCCACCTTTTCTTTCCTGCCTTTTAGTGGAAGTTCATTCATGTATAAATCCATTAATTTACAAAATATTTATGGGCTCCCTACTCTGTCATGCAGCCACAAGTGCCGCAGTTGACAGAATGGCTGCTGCCCTACCCCAGAGGAGTATAGTGCAGTTAGGAGCACTTGGTGATTCCAAGGCCTGGTCTGAGCAGTGGTGGACATATTCACAGCCACCCCAGGAAGGAGAGGAGGGTGGGCTGGAAGGGACTCTGCCATTCATTACCCAGGGGCATACTGTTTGCTCTGTGGTGAACTTCCTTTTAATTATTCTTTGTTAAAACATGAACATGTATTAATGTAGTCCTGGCTTGTCCAAGTGATGTGGTGAAGGGAAAGCAGTTGAGAGAAGTAATTGCAAAAAAGAAAAACTGGAAGCCAAAGGCTTGAGCAAAAGGGATTCAAAGCAAAGGCAGACGAGATTAAAAAGTAAGACGACCTTGTAGAGAAAGCCAGGAGGCAATTCCTGAGAGGCCTCTTCTGCAGATGCTAACTGGTCAGCAGCCCCCATGGCTGGTGCAGAAGGCGTGGGCTGAGGATCCTGGAGAGGCTTCTGCTCTGCAGCCAGCTCCGGCGTCTCGCTGGTGGGGCCCAGAGGAGCCGCATCCTCGGTGGTCTCTTTGGGCTCTGCACCTATGGCTATTTCGTGTTCTCCTTCCCCTTCATGGTTGGAGGCAGGCTCTATGACCACTGAAGGGATGACCTTCTCCTGGAGGAAGAAAAACTGTGGCGGTGCCCAGCAGGACCTGGGAAACAGGACCTCCTTGTCCTGCGCAACCTACCTTGCCACTTCCATACTTCCCCACTAGCCAGACTCAGGCTCCAGGCCTCTGCTGTGCCACGCAGCCTCCTCCTGTTCCTCCTGAGGCCTAAACCCTTAGTGGAATTAATTTCTGGATCCTTGAAGAGCCAAGCAGTTTGGTAAACATGAGGTTTCTGTGGGAATGGGGAAGAGGGATAGGGGGTGGGAAACCATCCCGAGAGGGACTGCAGAAGGAGCCAATGCAGGCCGGCCCGGTTCTTGTCCCACGACGCCCTAACTCTTGCCGCTGACAGTTCACTTCCTAGGAGCCCCTCCCCACCATCCCCCAGTCGCCTGAACCATGCTTGCTGGTGAAGATCCAGCCAGGGTTTGGAGATCATTCACCAGTCCTTCACTTGTGATTATCATTCCAGCCCCCACTGCCCCAGCTGCTGGAGGGACCACAGCTCCCACATCCACTCCAAGTACTCCAGTGTCTGAACCAAAGGGTTAGGACCACCCTTTCACTTGTTTAACAAAGATGAGCACAGAAGGGAGTTTTATCAGCAGAACAGGAGTCTTTCTATATTCCTTCTGCTAGCAGCAGACTAGAGCACTAACATTCACCAACTTGGAGAGATAATACGGTCTTTCCATGAGTGCAACCATATACACGAAAACATTCTGGGTGCTGTGATGAGAAAATCTAAGGGGAAAAAGGAATATTCTTTTAAGTTCCTTCTCCCATAACACTTATCTGACATGTTTCTAGTGGGATGAAAGTAATTCAACTAGAAACATAATTCTAGTAATTCAGTTTTAAGTAACCCTAGAGAGATTTTTGAAAATTTATTGGGAGTAAAGTCATCAGGAAAGGCTGGGCACATTGGCTCATGCCTGTAATCCCAGCACTTTGGGAGGCAGAGGCGAGCAGATCACCTGAGGTCAGGAGTTCAAGACCAGCCTGACCAACATGGCAAAACCCCGACTCTATCAAAAATACGAAAATTAGCCTGAGGCAGGAGAATCACCTAAAGCCAGGAGGTGGAGGTTGCAGTGAGCCAAGATCGAGCCACTGCACTCCAGCCTGGGTGACAGAGCAAGACTCCATCTCCAAAAAAACAAAAAAAAAATATCAGGAGAAAAGAATGCATACCATTAACCCCCCTCTTAACGTTGCCTTCTAGAATACAGAAGAACCAGACAGCGAAGGTAGGCCCTGGGGTTGGAGGCCCTCGCAGTGGTAGAGCATGTGGCTTTGTGGCCTCTCAATGCTGCTCTGAGCCATTGCTGAGCTGGGCCTGCTCCAGCCTCATGCACGGCCCAGGTCCCTTTATTTCCCTTCTCAAAGTGCAACACAGCAGTGGGCTCTTGGTGAAAGGGGCCTGATGGTGACTTTGAAGCACTCGAATGTTAATAATAACCACCAAACAGCAATAAGAATAATAAGACCTAAATACTATTGAGTTCTCCCTGGCCTAAGTGCCCACTTCATCACATTCTCTTTCTCCCAGCTCAACTCTTGTCCTTTTCTCTGTTCTGCTTCATTCCTTTCTCCATGTCACCCCAGCATTTCCCCTTCCCTTTTCCATGCTTAGGCCCAGTCAGCCACAGGCTCTGAGGACCTGTGTGCAACACTGCAATGCTGATACTGAGAAGCTGGGACCACTGTTTCTGAGAATCTGATAACAATGGTGTTTGGTGGAGTCACAAAACTGCTACAAACCTATTGTACATCCAAAGAGTTATCACCATGAACCAACCGACACAGCACCCAGCCCATGCTGCCTCCCAGAAGCTCCCCTGGCTGGGACACTCACCTGACGCACTGCTGCTTCCAGCTCCTCTGATTCAGGTTGGGCACTCTCTGCACTCTCAGTGGTTTCAGTTTCAGTTTTGGTCTCCTCTAAGCTTATTCCTTCCCCGGTAGGGAAAGTGGCCTTCTCTGCCTCTGCTTCCTCTCCTGGGGCCCCCTCAGCTGCTGACACCAAAGTTCCAACAGCTGCGTCAGCATCAGCATCAGCTCCAGGTATAATCTGCAGGGCAGAAACCAACAGCCACGTCTGCATCTCCGTGGGCCTCCCCAAGGAGACAAACTCAAGCCTATTCCTAATCTCCCCTCTGCAGAGGCTATTCAGATTTGGGACTTTCTTTGCACTCCCAGGATTCAGGTATAGCAGAGTTTGCCATCTATTGGTCAACACTCTGACTTTTCTGCTGAGCTCCCAACAATTCCACACTCCTCAGCTTTCCTTGCTGTCAGGTGCAGCACATGGGATTTGAATGAAAGTGACATACACCATTCCAAAGACACGGCTTTTAAGGTGTAGGTGATTTCCATTTTTGTTGGCTGAAAGCAACCAATGAGGCCTTAGGGGTGTGAAAGAAAGAAAACTGAATCTCCGGACCTTAAACTTACCATGCGAAAGGAAAGTTAACCTTGGGAATGGAGTCACACAAAACTACCTTCCTTTTGGTCCCAAACACAGAGCTGTAATTTCACATTCTTCCTTTATCTCATGTAACATGCAGAACTACAGAGTGTGAGATGAAGGCATGATTGACTTCATCTTTTCACATGTGAAATGTAGATTCTCTGAGCGCTAATCAGCGCCTGACAAGAATGTGACACTCGCCTCATTGCCCACCCACCTGCCTTTTAAAAAATTTATTCCCTTCTTGCTTGCTATTTCGTCTTTAAATACTGAAGTTCTCAAAACTCTCTTATAAAAAGCATAGGTCACAGACCCTCCCTTGACTCATGTTTCTTTTTCCCAGGTGCATCCTTAACCTTGGCTAAATAAGCCTCTGCAGGATTGAGACCTGCCTTGGTCACTTTTTGGTTTACATGGCACATCTGGGTCACAAGATGGAAGGGGCCTGGGTCAGAGAAAAAAGCCATATCAGAAAAGCATCCTCATCACACAAAGAATTTAGAAAAATTGCCTTTTGGTATAAACTTTCAAATCTTTGTGAGGAAGGTTCACAAAGTGATTTGGATGCCAAATCACTTTCACAGGAAAAAAAAAGGAAGTTTTCTCAATAAAAACTCTCAAGAATGAAGGGGAAACAATTTTTGTAATCAAATATGCATGGTAACACTCCAAATATCTGCAAAGCTTGTTTATAGGCAAAATGCCAAAATCATAGTTTAGGTCCAGTAAGGAGAGATGAAATAGAAAAAAATCAGAATTTTCTTTCTAAGGTAGAAACACAGTCAAAAGAGTTTTAAGTACTGTTTAGAACTTACAATAATGAAATAAAGGAAGTGCAATCAGACGTTTTAGTTTTGAACAAATTGGAGTCCAACTCTTTAATAGGATTCTGACGTCAGCTTGGCAGACTTGATTTGAGAGGTTCAAATGAGAAAGACTATGGAAAAAATCTCAGGTTGATCTTATATATCCAGGACATATATTTCAAAAATGGCTCTTACTATCTGATGTGATTAGGATTAGCTATTTTTTCCTTGTTGAATACATTCTACCCAGTTCAACCTCTTAAGTTAGGAAAGCCCTAATATTGCAAACATTAAGTATTAAACTCAACAGAAAAGGACAATGAAGAGTACCTCTGAGTGGGCATCAGAAATTGGAGATGAAAAACACGAACAACACACCTACACTTTTAACCAAGTAGTTTTAAAAATGTTTCTTCTGGCTCAAAGGTACAGGTAACCGTTTAAATAAAAGTACCTGTTACAGGCCGGGCACAGTGGCTCACGCCTGTAATCCCAGCACTTTGGGAGGACAAGGCAGGCGGATCACGAGGTCAAGAGATTGAGACCATTCTCGCCACGATGAAATCCTATCTCTAATAAAAATACAAAAAAAATTAGCCAGGTGTGGTGGCACACGCCTGTAGTCCCAGCTACTCGGGAGGCTGAGGCGGAAGAATCGCTTGAACCCAGGAGGCGGAGGTTGC